GGCCCAAAGTCACCCAGCCGGCTTTAATGCCTAAGGCGGGACTAGAACTCACTGTCTCCTGCTGATTGGCCCAAAGTCATCCAGTTGGCTTTCCTGCCTAAGGCGGGACTGTAACTCACCATCTCCTGGTGATTGGCCCAAAGTCACCCAGCCGGCTTACATGCCTAAGGCGGAACTAGAACTCACCATCTCCTGGTGATTAGGCCAAAGTCACCCAGCCAGCTTTCATGCTCAAGGCGGGACTAGAACTCAGCGTCTCCTGGTGATTGGCCCAAAGTCACCCAGCTGGCTTTAATGCCTAAGGCGGGACTAGAACTCACCGTCTCCTGGTTTCTATGCCAGCACCTTAGCCAGTAGTAGACCAAACAAGCTGAATTTGCTCCGTATACTAAAGTACACAAAGCCAACAGAATAAAACTAACCGAGTTTTGCTAAGTCTCTGAGAGAATTGTGTTGGGTGAAGATAGCCAGTATTTGGCCACTTTGAAGATGGGTGGACTTCAACTCCCAGAATCCCCCAGTCAGCCATGTTGAGAATGCGGTTTTAGAAGGAAATTGTAATGCAAGAGTCATTGTTGCATGCTGATCTTCTATAACCCTCTAATACAGTGGTTCTCAACCTTTTTAATGCCGCGACCCCCAACCGGTCGTAAGTCAAGGACTACTCAACCGGTCGTAAGTCGAGGACTACTCAACTGGTGCAGCACCGTTTGCAGAATGGGACTTTTGGCGGGCTCAGCAGGGCAGAGACAACCTGGACAATTCCTATTGGCTTTGGAAAGCCAATAGAATTAGACTCTATTCAAGAGAGCCTATTCTATTGGCTTTCAAAAGCCAATAGAATAAAAGGGAGTAGCACAGCTAAGGAAAAGGGGGGGAAAATGGTGGACTGCGTTGTTTGGCGACCCCCGTGAAATGGTCGTTCGACCCCAAATGGGGTCCCGACCCACAGGTGGAGAACCACTGCTCTAATATATGTTTAGATTTCTTTTATTGTATCTAAAATCTACCCTTTTAGGGCATCTTTTGTTCCAAGTTTGCTTCTCTCGGATATCCAAGCAAATCTGATCTGCCAATCAGAATGGCCTCCTGTTAACTGGTTGCATAAACCTGGCTGAGGAATTCTGGGAGTTGAAGTCCACACATCTTAAAGTTGCTAAGGTGGATGACCCCTGGCGTAAACCACAATAACACAATAAGTTCTGCTAGCCATAAAAACGAAACAATAGCATTTTTTTAACAAGGCAAGATTAGACTATATTTAAATCCCGATCAACCTTGAAAGCATTTCAAGAGCAGATTCACAACGGTTGTGATATAAACACGGTTATTGCACAACCTGCTAAATCTGTTTGGTTTTTTTGGTGGCTGAGCCTGCAGTGAGAATTCTATCCTGTTGTGCTCGTTTAGGGCACAACGTATGACGGAAATGCAGAAAACGGATTAATTCTGTAAACGGGTGAGTCGGCTGAAGGAGCAAATGAGGGATGGCCATCCAGTCCTCTGTAGGAGAAAACCACATGAAATATACATTATGTCTGAAATTATTTCATTTCCAAATAGAGGTAGAGCGATGGAGGTAGGTAGGTAGGCAGGTACACAGATGAAAGATATAGATAAATAGATTGAAATAGAGACATATAGATAATAAATTGATAGATGTGATAAGAGATGATGGATATAGAGATGGAGAGAGAGGGAGATAGATAATAATAATAATAATAATAATAATAATAATAATAATAATAATAATAATAATAATTCGCCTGTAAGCAAAAACTGGTGGGATCATAAAATAGAGAAAGTCATAGAAAATGATAAAATTAAATTGCTCTGGGACTTCAGAATTCAAACAGACAAGCACTTGCAACATAACACCCCAGACTTAACAATTGTCGATAAGAAAGACAAAAAAGTCTGGATAGTGGACGTGGCAGTGCCTGGAGATAGCAGAATAGAAGAGAAAGAACTGGAGAAGATAACAAAATACAAAGACCTACAAATAGAAATAGAAAGACTGTGGCAAAAGCAAGCAAGGGTAGTACCAATAGTCATAGGCTCCTTGGGTGCAATCCCAAAACAACTGGAGCACCACTTGAACACCATTGGCATTGACAAATTCGCTATTAGTCAATTGCAAAAGGCGGCCTTATTAGGAACTGCTTCCATCCTGTGACGATATCTGTAATACCATCAAACATCCACATCTGCCTATCCCAGGTCCTGGGTAAAGACTCGATAGGTAGACAAAATGCCAAATCCAGTCTGAACATCTGTGCGATGATCAATAATAATAATAATAATAATAATAATAATAATAATAGTAATAATAATAATAGTTGGAAGGGACCTTGGAGGTCATCAAGTCCAACCCATCAGGTACATAGATAGATGGAGAGAGGATGGAGATAGAGATGGACAGATGATGGAGATAGAGATGGAGAGGGAGAGATGATGGATAGATAGATGAGAGGAAGATAGATAGATAGATATGATAGATAAATAGATATAATAGATAGATGATAGATAGATAGATGGATGGATGGATGGATGGATGGATAGAGATAGATAGATAGATAGATAGATAGATAGATAGATAGATAGATAGATAGATAGATAGATATGATCAGTGGTGGGATTCAAGTAGGTGAACAACCGGTTCTCTGCATGGATGCCACTTTCGGACAGGATGATAGATAGATAGATAGATAGATAGATAGATAGATAGATAGATAGATAGATAGATAGATAGATTATAGATAGATAGATAGATAGATAGATGATAGATATAGATAGATGATAGATAGATAGATAGATAGATAGATAGATAGATAGATAGATAGATAGATAGAGATAGATAGATGACTGTGAGTTCTAGCCCCTCCTTAGACACAAACGCCAGTTGGGTGACTTTGGGCCAATCACCGGGATACGGTGAGTTCTAGTCCCGCCTTAGGCATGAAAGCCACTTGGTGGATCGTGGGCCAATCAACCCGAGATGGAGAGGTCTAGTCCCGTCTTACGAATGACAGGCAGTTGGGTGGTTTTGGGCCAATCACCAGGAGGCTGAGAGTTCTAGTCCCACCTTAGGCAAGAAAGCCAGCTGGGTGACTTTGGACAAGTCTCTCTTTCTGAGCCTCACCCACCCCACAGGGTTGTTGTTCTGGGGCAAATAGGAGGAAGAAAGAGTATCAGGCTGTTCGCCTCATTATTTGTAAAAAAAATAAAAAATGGCCTGATGTAAATAAATAAAAAACACACCCCGCTTTTGTCTAATGAAGGAGACTGAACCCCACTGTTGAGTTTCCCCCGAACATCCGTTCTGATAAGATATTTTGTCCTGGGGATGAGATCCAACCCTAACCCTAACCCAACCCAAAACCGGAAGGGTGTGTGTGAAAAATCCATCTCTCCATCACTCTGCTGGGCCTTTGGCCCCCTGTAGATGGAAAACCCTCACCCAAACCACACCAGGGAGCGGGAAGAGGAACGCAGGCTTGCGTCCCACCCGCTCGTCCCCTATAGAGCGGGGCGGGCGCTTTCACACGACACCCTTGACCCGGGTCCGCCGTGGATAAGCTGGGCGGAATGTCATTACTCGAGAGCCGGACCTGGGCTCCTTCTCCTCCCCCCCCCCTCCAGGTCCCTTTGGTTCTTTTTTTATGATTTTGGGGTAGGGGAGGGCGAGATCCCCGGAAAACCCCAGGTGCAGGGTTTTGTGTGAACGCGGCCAGGTGGGAAGAGCGCAGGTGATGTCAGGAGTCGGGGGCTTCGAGGGGGGGGGAGGAGGAGGAGGAGGAGGAGGACCAGAAGGAGGACAGGAGAAAGGAAGGAATCCAGCCTCCTCTTCCTCCCCCCCCCCACCCCAGCCGGGGGCTGCAGCCCGCGGGGCGGACCAGATGGAGAACGTCGCTCCGTCATTTCTCCGCTGTTTCTCCCCCTCGGGGCTCTTTTCATTCAATGAATCTATTTCCCCCCCCCGCCTCCCCCGCGAGCTTTCTCCGCCTCCTCGTGATAGGTCAAAGCTGGCATTTGAAGTGGCCCTGCCGCTGCTGATTGGCTGGGCCGGCGGCCCCCGCGGAGAGGGGTGGGCGGGGTCTGCGCCTTGAAATAGGCAACCGGGCGCTCCGTCTCCTCGCCCAGCTGCTGCCTTTGTCTGCGGACTCTGCCCGGGCGAGGCCAGGCGAGCAGCGCTCCAGACCCGCCGGGAGAGGCCAGAGCTCCGTGCCTTCTCTCTCTCACTCTCCTTTTGCAGGCTGTCGTCCGTCTGGAAAGCTGCCCCGCCCGCCCGCCAGCGGAGACTGGGGCTGCCGATCCCTGCGCCTTCTCCCCTTTGCAGGCTGTCGTCCGTCTGGAAAGCTGCCCTGCCCGCCAGCAGAGCGGAGCTGCTCCGGTGAGGGCCCCGGAAGACCCCTGATCTCTGTGCCTTCTCTCCTTTGCAGGCCGTCGTCCGTCTGGGAAAGCTGCCCTGCCCGCCAGCCGGAGACAGGGGCTGCTGATCTCCGTGCCTTCTTTGCAGGCTGAGGTCCGTCTGGAAAGCTGCCCTGCCCGCCAGCCGGAGACTGGGGCTGCTGATCTCCGCGCCTTCTTTGCAGGCTGTGGTCCGTCTGGAAAGCTGCCCTGCCTGCCTGCCAGTGACGACCGGGACTGCTCCAGCCAGGCGGTGGGAGATCCCTGTCTCTGTGCCTTCTCCCCTTTGCAGGCCGTCGTCCGTCTGGAAAGCTGCCCTGCCCGCCAGCCGGAGACTGGGGCTGCTGATCTCTGCGCCTTCTTTGCAGGCTGCGGTCCGTCTGGAAAGCTGCCCTGCCTGCCTGCCAGCGACGACCGGGACTGTTCCAGCAAGGCGGTGGGAGACCCCTGTCTCTGTGCCTTCTCCTCTTTGCAGGCTGTCATCTGTCTGGAAAGCTTCCCTGACCGCTCCAGGGCTTGACAACAGCCAGCCAGCCAGCTCGGGGTATGTGAATCCTTCTCCGGGGCTGCTGCAGAAGAAGTCTCGCGGGATCAGGCGGTGCCAGCCCACCATGCCGGTGGAGACCCTCCAAGCTAGCCGTGCCATGAGCAGCGTCTCGGCCACGGCCCCCTTCACCTCCGCCATGCCCTTCCGCATCCTCCACAAGGGGCCCGAGTACTTCCGCCGGCCCCTAGTCAACAGCGGCGCCTCCCGGAAGCTCAGCGCGGTGGAACGTCTGGAGGCTGACAAGGCGAAGTACGTCAAGAGCCAGCAAGTGGCCACCACCAAGCAGGACCCCATCCGGCCCCTGGTGCTCAAACAGCCGCTCTTCACCCCGGGGGTGAGGCGGGCCATGTTCACCCCCAACCGCAAGACCCCTCAAGCAGGCCGGCGGGGAGAAGGCGGCACGCCCAAATCCTCCCTCAACCTGGAAATCCTCAACAACCTGATCAATTTTTGCGACAGCCCCCTGGCCTTCCCCAAGCCGGAGATAAGCCCTTCGGAGCGTCCGTGGGCCTCCGAGGTCCATAGCCGGAATCTGGACAGCGTCCCCTCCACCCCCAAGAAGAAGGCCACGGCCGACATGAGTAAGCTCTCCCAAAGCTCGGCGTCCTCCAAGCCGTCAAGCACCGTCGCCGTACGCCGGGTGGACGTACGGCCCTGCGGGCTGTTGCAGAACAGAGGTACCCCGACTATCCAACTGTCTCCGCTCCCTGCTCCACCGGCGCCCCCCAAAATCCTGCCTGCCACCCCTCTCAGCTGCCCGAGCCCTCGGGGGGAGCCGCGGACCGAGAGCGCAAAACGCCAAACCTTATTGCACCGTTCCAAATCGGACCTGAGTGACCGATATTCCCGAGCCACGGCCGACTTGGAGCGCTTCTTCAACTATTGTGGCTTGGATCCCGAGGACGTCGGAGACATGGAGATGGAGCGGTTCACTCGAGCCAGCTCGGATATTGTGTCCGTCAAGTTCCACAGCGTCAGCACCAGCAGTTCGGCCGGGACCCACTCCCGACGCAGCACCGTCACCTTGGAGAACAGGCAGGCCGAGCGCATGCCGTACGGGATCTCCATCATCGAACGCAACGCTCGGGTGATCAAGTGGCTTTACGGACTCCGACAGGCCAGAGAAGTCCAGAAAGTTTCCAACGTATAGCAGCCGTCGGTGAGGGGTGGGTGGGAACTCCAACGCTGAGGACGTCACCCAAGACGTTGATTTCTGTTTTGCAAATTTGCAGCTGGAGGAAAACATTTGCCAAAACGGTGGTTTCCGGGACCGTGGGGCGGCACTTGGTTCTGCCCGCCTGGAGATCCCTCGTGTCATTTGAATCTTAAAATCCTTTCCATCCTGGGGGGGGGTCAGGATCACATGGTGGTCACTTGCACTCTGTTCTCAATTCGAGCGTGGTGTCCAAGAGGCATGTCAAGATGGACGATGGAGAAAAAAAAATGTAACTGTCTTGAGCTTGGCTGTTGGCTTGCAGACGTTTCCTGACCCAACTAGGTAATATCGTCAGTGCTAGAAGGGAGTGGGGTTTGTTCTCTCTTTATGTACAAGTGGCTTGTCCTGTCTGTGTTGGTGGGAGTGGTCTTGGTGGTCTAGGCTGTTGTTTACGGTGGGGTCCTTGGTGCTCTCTGAGCTTGGTGGTTTTCTTGCAGACGTTTCGTTACCAGACTAGGTAACATCATCAGTGCTAGAAAGGGAAGAGGAGGAGGTGGACTGTGGGGTCCTTGGTGCTGTCTGAGCTTGGTGCTTTTCTTGCAGACGTTGCATCACCCAACTAGGTAACATCATCAGTGTTAGAAGGGACAGAGGGAAGAGGTGGGGTCCTTGGTGCTCTCTGAGCTTGGTGGCTTTCTTGCAGACGTTTCATTACCCAACTAGGTAACATCATCAGTGTTTGAAGGAGGTGGCCTTTGCGGAGCCGAAGGCAGGACTGGAACTCGCAAGCTGAGAGAGCACCAAGGAATCTACTGTCCGCCCCTGTTCAGCTACAAATAATTATCTCTTCTATTTCCTTTTGTTTACTGTTTACTGAAAAACTCAGCAACTCAGACGGTCTTTCCCCACTCAACATTTTCAAGAGGGGACTGGCCTTGATTACGGGGGCCGGGGATGATGGGAACATTACCTTTGCAGTCATGGGTTTGAGGAGACTTGCTGGGCACCGTCAGAAGGGCGCACACACCCCTCTTCTTTCAAGAAATACCCCCCCCCCAAATTATAGTCGTTGCAAAGAAGGATGCTGCCATTTGCTCCCCCAATTGGATGACAATCCGGGTGCTACTGCACCAGCCACGTCCCACCCACGTGATCGCTTTGTGCAAGTGACATCACGGGGGTCCTGCGTGTTTGCCCACCACGCCGATGGCATAGTCCTGGCATTGGCATCGCGCGGTTAAGCCTGGATCCCTCCCCTGCGAACCTATTGCTCAGGAGGGGAAAGAGAAACGCCAAGGTGTCCAATCGGTCGCCAGGCTGATTTCTTTCCGGGGGGGCATGGCACCCCTTGACGGGCTTCGCCCTGGGAACCAACTTCGAGCCGAAGGGGGTATTTTTTTTTTGTAGGCAAAGCAACAACAGCACCGGAGAACAATAGAAGCCGGGATGGCTGACCGAGCTGGAAAAATCCCCACATTTTATTGTTTAAGCAGGTGCAAGAATTCAAACCGTCTTTGGCTCAAAACCAGGGAAAGCTTCCTGGCAGAGCATTGGAGGGGGGAGGATGGGGGGGGGGCAAAATCCATGCCAGCTTCCCAAAATGGGAAGTTTGGGCTGGCAGCTCCCAAAGAGAAGACTTGTGGGTGGCTAGACCAGATGAGGGACAGGTCATCCTCTGCCGGTCTGCGTTCGAGAGAGGTTAACATTCCCTCTAGTGCAGGGGTCTTCCAACTTGGCCCTTTTTTAATGGCTTGTGGACTTCAACTCCCAGAATTCCTTAGCCAGCGTGCAGGGGTCTTCCAACATGGCCCTTTTATGATTTGTGGACTTCAACTCCCAGAATTCCTCAGCCAGGCATGCCTAGCTGAGGAATTCTGGGAGTTGAAGTCCACAAGTCCTAAAAGGGCCAAGTTGGAAGACCCCTGTTCTATAGAATATATAAGACAGGTATGAGTATTTTGAGTAAATCTTGAAGGAACATTCTGGAAAAAAAGAGTAGATACAGGCCTAGTTCAGATTTTTGTGGGCTGCTTTGTGGCTCCGTGACTGGAAGAGAGGTAATTATCACTAAATGTAGAACAAGGGTAAGATTTCTGCTTTTTTCCTCCTCATAAAGAATGTAATACAGGTATGTAGTCCTAAACCAGGGGACTTCAAACTGGGCCCTTTGATGACCTGTGGACTTCAATTCCCAGAATTCCTCAGCTAGCATGCCTAACTGAGGAATTCTGGGAGTTGAAGTCTACAAGTCATAAAAGGGTCATAGTTCCCTAACGCTGGCTGAGGAATTCTGGGAGTTGAAGTCCACCATTCATCAAAGGGCCCAGTTTGAAGACCCCTGGGCTAAATGAACTGTTGTACGTCTTTACCTTTACACAAACACACACAGGTATGTCCTCTCTAAAAATTCTGGGAGTTGAAGTCAACAAGTCATCAAAGGGCCAAGTTGGAAGACCCCTGCTCTAGTCTCACAGCTAGTCCTTGACTTACAGCCGTTCGTTTAGTGACCAAAATTACGACGTCGTGGAAAAGCCTGACTTAACGACCGCTTTTTCGCACTTACAACCGCTGTCCGTTGCAGCATCCTAGCGGTCAGGTGTTCAAAATTCAGGCACTTGGCAATAGGCCTGTATTTACGACGGTCGCGGCATCCTGTCCCGGGGGGGGGGTGTCTTTTGATTGCCATGTGTGGCTCTCCCAGCCAGCTTTGGATGGGCAAATTCAATGGGAGAGGCTGGATTCGCTTTACGACCGCAGGAATCGCTGAACAACTGCAGCAATTCGCTTAACGGCCGTGGGGAAAAGGTCGTAAAAGGTTGCAACGCTCCCTTAGCAACCGTCCTGTTCGGCCATGGAAATTGGGGGGCTCAGCTGTGGCCGTGAGTGGAGGACTACCTGTATTGTGCTGGGGATGAGGGGCGTTGTAGTGCATCAAGCTTGGGAACTGGCAGATTCGGGCAAAAATGCTTTTCTGATTTTTTTTTCTTTTTTTTTTCTTTTTGCTTCCCATTTTCTTACTTTCTTTTTCTCCCTTCCGGAGGAAAAAAAAACAAACCCTGATATGTTTTAGCCAAGCCTGGCACGTTGTGCGCGAAACGCAATCCTTTGTGTCTGAGTGTATTGTAGTCCAGCCTCTCTCTAGCCACCTTCCTGCCCATCTTTGTCAAGCGAAACGGTTAGCTCGGCTGGAGAAAGGCGGCCTCTTTGCCTTCATAGCCCTTTCCAGCTCACAGTGCAGATGATTTTGTGGGAAAGGGATGGTCCGTTCAAAAGGTAGCACGTTTTCAATGGGGAAAGCAGTTCCTGGTCTGGCATGGGCAGTCCGGCCCAATGGTGTCAGCTGCCCGATGTGCTGGACAATAGAAGGAACGGTTGCTGGAATTGGGCATGTCTAGTTTAAGGAAGAGAAGGACGAGGGCGGACAAGATAGCAGCCTTCCAATATCTCAGGGGCTGCCCCAAAGAAGAGGGAGTCAAGCTGTTCTCCATAGGACTAGAAAGCTGGCAAGAAGCAACAAATGGAAATTAACCAAAGAGAAAAGCAATCTAGAACTGAGGAGAATCTTCCTGACAGAACAATTGACCAGTGGAACAACCTGCCTCCAGAAGCGGTGAATGCTTCAACACTGGAAATTTTTAAGAAGAGACTGGACATCCATTTGTCTGAAATGGTATAGGGTTTCCCGCCTGGACAGGGGGTTGGACTAGATGACCTCCAGGGTCCCTTCCAAGTTTTTTTTTATTATTATTATTATTATTATTATTATTATTATTAATATCATTAATATTAAAATATTTATAATATTAATAATATTAATAATTATTATATTCTCTTGGTTCTGCTGGCTGAACGAGGCGAAGAGTTGCCATCTCCGATGCCTCTGGAAAGGAAGCAAAGTGAGGGAAATTGTCTGGGGATATCAAAAAGTTCTAGAATGTGGGTCTGGATGAGACCTCAGAGATCATCTAGTCCAACCCCTGCCCTAGGCAGGACGCAACGCAGTTGTTTTGGCCTGTGATTTATGTCCCGGAGCAGACAGAGAAAGCCAGACATATTTGTGAGCATACGCATTTTTACGTCTGTTGCTTCTAAGGTGCTGTTCTTCAGATGCAGGCTGTCCTTGAATTACGACGATTTGTTTAGTGGCTGTTCAAGGTTACAACAGCACTGGGGAAAGAATGACCATTTTCAAACGTGCAACCATTGCAGCATCCCAGTGGCCACCTGATCAAAATTGAGACGCATGGCAATTGACTCATATAATAATAATAAAGTTGGTAGGGATCTTGGAGGTCATCTACTCCAACCGCCTGCTCAGGCAGGAAACCCTATACCATTTCAGACAAAGGGCTGTCCAGTCTCTTCTTAAAAACTTCCAGTGTTAGAACATTCACAGCCTCTGGTGGCAGGTGTTTCCACTGGTTAATTGTTCTCACTGTCAGGAAGTTTCTCCTTAGTTCTAGGTTGCTTCTCTCCTTGATGAGTTTCCACCCATTGCTTCTTGTCCTGCCTTCAGGCGTTTTGGAGAATAGCTTGACTCCCTCTTCTTTGGGGCAGCCCCTGAGATGTTGGAAGGCTGCTATCCTGTCCCCCCTGTCCTTCTCTTCATTAAACTAGACATATCCAATTCCAGCAACCGTTCCTTATATGTTTTAGCCTCCAGTCCCCTGATCATCTTTGTTGCTCTTCTCTGTATTCTTTCTAAAGTCTCAACATCTTTTTTACATCGTGGTGACCAAAACAGGATGCTGTATTCCAAGTGTGACCTTATCAAGGCATTGTAAGGTCTTAAAACTTCATGTGGTTATTAACACTTCATGTGATCTTGATTCTATCCCTCTGTTTATGCAACCAAGGATTGTGTTGGCTTTTTTGGCAGCTGCAGCACATGGCTGGCTCATACAATTTGCAATGCCCAAACCGGACATAAGCTGATGGCTCAATTCACACTCCAGGTTAACCACAGGTATTTAATTCCTCCCAACCACAACTTTTACCTTTTTGTCCAGCTTAGTGTGATGGGCAAACCCACCTAGAGCAGGGGGTCTTCCAACTTGGCCCTTTTATGACTCGTAGACTTCAACTCCCAGAATTCCTCAGCCAGGCGCGCCTGGCTGAGGAATTCTGGGAGTTGAAGTCCACGAGTCATAAAAGGGCCAAGTTGGAAGATCCCTGACCTAGAGTCTCACATCTTGTTTGGTCAATGACCCCACCAGTTTGACTTCCGGGGAGCTGTAGAGGACGTTTAAACCATTGTTTAATTGATGTTTGATTTTTTTTAAAAAAACAAGAGTTGGTTAAGAGGACCCAGTTCAGCTGAGAATCCCGGAAACAGGTTGATTTGGGAATTGGCGAATTTTGGGAACTGTTAGCCCGCTGGAGATTCCCCCTTTATCTCCGTGGGGGAGACACTAAGTGTGTATTGCATGTGAGTGTGTTGTTTGTGAACAGACATCCTTGTATTCCAAGAACGACGGATCTGCAACGACTGTTCTACTATTTATAATTCCCCCCCCCTTGCCCTGTT